CAGTGAAGGACAGGAAGGCCTGGCGCGATATGGTTCATGGGGTCACGAAGAGTCGGACACGACGACTGAACAACAACAAATATTCTTCAAAGATCACAACTCTAATTAAGAGGAACTACAGCAGAACACTAGCTATTCCATCTTACTGATAACAATATGCTTACAAAAATGTGCCTTGAAATACATGCATTGTTTTCATATTTTCTTCAGAAAGCATGAAATGTGATGGCTATCTTGGATTTAGTTGACTTCTTCATTTCTGGAGCCTCTTCAGTGGAGGTTATAACTTTTAATGGTTAAGTAATACAAGAAATTTGGCAATGTTCTTTTATGGGAAGATAAGCTGATTTCACTTTAGCAGAACTGGAAGAAAATCTACCTGCAGGGTATTAATCCAGACCCTTAGAACTTACGAGTAAGTTCTAAGAAGTAAGACCACAAGAACACCATGTGTGGTACACCATTAGTTTGAGTTCAAGATTATATTTACTATTTTTATCTAACAAAGGTAGTAAAATCAAACCAAAAGACTATTCACAACTTGTAGTACATCAGAAAAAGAAGAGAATAGATGTAGTTCAAGGTTGAACCGTGGAGTCCTTGGGGTTCCCTGAGCTTGGCTGTTTTCTTGCAGATGTTTCATTACTCAACTAGGTAACATCTAAAAGGGTAAGGAAATGTCTGCAAGAAAACAACAAAGCTCAGAGAACCCCAAGGACTCCACATCAGAAATAGCTTTACTTTTTTTTGAAGTAAACTCTTCCCTAGCTACCTAGACCAAATTCTACAGCTGATAATTAAATACAGAGAAAAGTAACAAGATGTACATAACTGTTCACACTTGGAATACCTTACTTGCAGCTGGTAAAGGCAAAACACCAGACTTTAAAATACACTATATGTTCCTTTAGAACTCCCTTTTGTCTAACAAAAGGAAGAATTTCTCTTATTCTAAAAAGTAGAATACACCAAATTAATGTATTTTTTCTTGTTCAGTACATTTAACAAATTAACTGTTTCAAGAATGTGTCTGTATGCTTGCCAGAATGTAAGTTAATAATTAATAAGCTAGGGAAAGCATGCCAACCCTGGCTTCTGGAGTTTTTTCCATCACCTTTACCAGCAGTATATATCCAATGCGAAGCATAGGGTGAACTGTATATGCTCAGGCCTGGGTGGATATGACCAGGAGGGAAATCTTAAAATGGAATGGTTGCCAATATTCCTAGCAGCTACCCAACTGTCTATCCACAGAGATGCACTAGGGATATTTCTTCTGGAATATTTTTTTCTGCAGTCCTTGCCTTGATACAGTCCATTTTCGAACTTTTGCCATAGATCCTCGTGAATGACAGACAAATGGGCAGAGAGTGTTCCTTTACATAACTTCTGTCCATTGGAATGGAAATATAAAAATAGGTAAAGTGGCTATTTCAGTTCTTATGAGCATGAATAAGGATCAGGGTGTTCTGACTTCAGTAACTCATGCCATGATCACAACCCAATTGGATAATTCCAACACATATACATGAGGGTGACTTTGGAGATGATCTAGAAACTAAAGTTAGTACAAAATGCAGCAGCACTACCAATATAGAACTACACTTATATTAAAATTGCTGCACTGATTGCTGGTAGGCTCCTGAGCTTAATTCAAATTGCTGGTTGCTCCCTTTAAAACCCTAAATAGTGCAGCACTGGGATATATCAAGCAACATCTTGCAAGCATTGAATCAGTATGTCTAGAGAAGGCCTGCTAAAGTCTCCCCTCTTTGTGAGGGAGTAGGTGACAGAGCAGGCCTTCTCTGCAGAAGCTCCAACCTTTTAAAATATTCTCCACCAAGAAGTACCCACTTTACTGAAATGTGATAAGTTAAATCTGTTTTATTTCAGCATTCCTTTGGCTCCAGCTACCAACTGGAAGTGTCTATCTTGGGTTTTATCTTGGATTTTCTCTTGTTGATTGTTTATGATAATGATTTTGATGTAGTTAAATTTTTATTGATTTTATTGATTTGATGTTCTCCCTGTTCAGAGTATGTTGGGACTGGTGTGACTTATAAGCACTACAAATCAGTACAACCATCTGAGGGAAAGTTGTGTTGTAAGCAGAATGTTTTGAACACATCCTATTTGCAAATTCATGGCATCAAATATCTTACAATGTTTACATTCAAATGAATGTGTATTTGAAGATGTAGAAGATCAACAAAATGGCTGAGAGAAGAACCAATAAAAAGTTTATCCCAGAAGTTATTGCCAAATTAGCTAAATGTTAATTCAGAGAGAAAACAGAATAGAAGCAAGAAGCAGCTGGAGAGATCACCACGATACTTAAGACCAATTCTTGGAAGAGTAAGGTGAACCATGAGAAGAAAAAAAAAAAAAGATGGAGAAGCAGAAGAACAGCCTAAGAAAGGTTTAGATCTCTGTTGACAGCAGGAGGTAACTGGGAAGCAGTGTGACTGAGTTAAACAGGTAACATCCTTCAACAATAGCTGGGTGAAAATCCCAAGAAGATAAAAGAAAGTAACTTCTGGTGAGGTAATTGTGATTTAAGGGAGATAGGCCTGTATGCCTATACTATTATTCCTGTGAAGAAGGTAGTCAGTTCCGTCAAAAGTTGTATAATTCCTACCTTCCTCTGGTTATAAGATAATTGGATTTCAGAAGATGAATTTGGTGTCAAATGTATAAAGATGAAGGACATTTTATCTGTGTTTTAAATAGGGATTAGCCTATTCCCAATTAGATCCATTTCTTTTCCCCAAATGCACACAGTATCTGTAATAGTAACTAAGCAGGCATACTCAACCTTCATCTGATCTTATTTCTTGCTGTACTTAGTTGCTTCAAATACTTATATATTATTTTGCTCCTGTGTTTTTTGGTTTTCTTAGAAGTTTTAATTATACTTTTATAATATACTACTCTAGGTACCTGGTAAGCAGAGAAATGATTTACTCTTTATGTTTACAACTTTATTTATAAACTTTATTTATTTAACATTTATAACTTGACAGTCTCAGATGACAAGATAAGCAGGTATGATTATATAATGTAAAACAAACAGAATCAGAGAGGCAACTCTCTTTTTGCTTCTAAACTATACCAATATGGTTTCTTAACATTTATTTATGCATTGATCTAAGACAGTATCCATGAATACTAACCTTTTGTGTCAAGCTGTCCTTGCTCCAGCAGGGTTTCATCTATGACAAAAGAGGTATTGTTTGCCAGCTGTAGTACTCCACTGACTAAACGATTAGCTGTGTAGTCCTTGTGTGGGTTAAACTTTAAGCAGTTCATGTTTTCTATGGTCATTTGCAAGCGATATGACTGCCAAGAAAAGTGACTGTAATGAATTGTCAGCTGGAACATGTACCTAATAGAGAACTAAGCTACTATATTTCACTAAAAGTGACATAAGAGGTTAACAACTTAATAAAAATCAAGGAATCAAGTAATTGCAGATATTCTGGCTAAAGACACCTGATCCTTCTACAGTCGAAGGAATATATTCTTTCTTTCAAAACACTTAGATAAGTTAGTAAACACTTTGAAAAATCAAACTGTAATATTTTTTTTGCAAATTGGCTTCAAAAGGCGGAATCCTGCACATATTCCATTGTCCTTAAAAGCTCATGTAACATTGCCCTTAACTACACATGACACTGCGTGAAACAAATTGCATTATACACATAAACAGACAAATTGTTTAATTATACTTTACTTTTGTCTCTCATCATTATAACTAAGCATACTGGCAAATAAGCAAGGGCAGAAATCATATCATTAAAATTATGGCAGCCATATTTCCTTGAGCCATAGAGGAATTAGAGATAAATTGTCTTGTTGGGTACAGATTCAGCATTCTGGAAATGCCACACAAACAGTGGTATATTGGTGACATACAGGTAGACCTTGACTTACAACGGCAATTGGGACCAGAATTTCCATTGCTAAGCGATGTGGTCATAAAGCGCAACCGCCCTGCTTAGCAATGGCAATCCCTACAATCCCAGTTGCCGTTGTTAACCGAATCCCATGGTTGTTAGGTGAGGCAACTTCCTGCCGGCTTTCCACAAACTAAGTCCGTGGGGAAGCTGGCAGGAAGCTGCAAGTCCCAGGTAGCTTGCAAGCAGGCAGGTAAGTGGCTGCTGCCGGGTGGGGTATGGTGTGAGAGGCACGGTGAAGGTTGGGAAGGGTGTGTGAGGGTACGAGGGATGTGCGGCAAGAGTTGGGAGGGTGCTCAGAGGCGTGGCAGGGTCATGGAGCTGGTGTGAGGGTATGTGGGAGGTGTGGCAAGGGTCTGGGAGGGTGTGTGGGGGTGCAAGGGAGGCACAGTGAGGGTTGGGGAGGGTGTGAGGGAGCTGCAAGGGTGTAAGGCATGGTGAGGGTGCATGGGGTGCATGAGGGAGGCATGGTGAGGCTTAGGGAGGTTGTGCATGGGTACACAGGAGTGCATGAGGGTTGCGTGGTGAGGAGGGTGCACAGGTGATGGGGAGGCTTGGGGAGCGTGTGGGGGTGTGCAAGTGGCTGGCACAGCACAAGTGCAGAGAGGCTGGGGGAGGGTGTGCAGGTGGGGGAGACTTACCCCAGTGACTTGTGACCTTCCCTGCCAGCTTCCCCACTGACTTTCTGGGGAAGGTGGCAGGGAAGGTTGCAAATGGCGATCATGTGATCGTGGGGTGCTGCAACTGGTCATAAGCGTGAGCTGGTTGCCAAGGCCCAGATCATGATCATGTGACTGTGGGGGTGCTGGGATGGCTGGAACTCTGAGGACCAGTAGTAACCGCCATTCATTCAGTGCCATCGTAACTTTGAATGGTCACTGAACGAATGATTGTAATTTGAGGACTACTTGTATACAGATATTACATTGAATACTGGATATTCATATAGTCAACTATCATGGAACCAGTACATAGACAGTTTTTAGTTATTGGAAAAATACCTGCTTCCTTATAATTATGTCTAGCATTTTGAATTGTCCATTTAAGTATTCAATCAGAAGTACAGTAAGTTGACTAAGCTATGACTGATTGGATTTACACATTGCATTAAGACATAAACTGTGGTTTACAAAATGGCTGGGTTCAAAGTAGTAAAGGTCAAATTCATTACAGCTTAATGTGATAGGTGAACCCAGAGACTGATGTGAACTAACGGTTAATGTACACAGCTTAAAAATGTAGTTCTTACTGCAGGAACAAGCTGCTGAATAATACGGTATACATGCTCTGTGAAGACACTGTTTCTTGGACAGCCACTTAAATTCAGGGTGAATTTTCCTAGAGGAAGAACGTCTCTTCTTGCATAGCTAGATAACACAAAGAACAGAAGTATAAGGCTGAGAGCAAGAACCTGTATTGCTGATCTTTGTAAGCTACTTCGTGCCAGGAATGCTTTTGGCTAAAGAGCAATATAGATACTTTGAGAGTGTATGTATACATTGAGATTAGTAGAATAATTAGGAAAAAGCACTAGCAAGTATATGATATTTGCATATTTGCAGATAGCTGAAAACTAGTAGGAACATAGCTATGGAACTATGCGATATCCTTACCCATACAGGAAGCTATTTTAAAATCTTGTACTCCCTCCCACTGATACTGCAGGCAGCAGAGAATGCTGAAATGGTTTAAAGTGTTGAGTTTGTCATCTTTTGTTTTTTTTCCAGTTTTTTAAAAAGACCATGAATGGGAGATGCATAAATTGCTATTTTTAATTTTTTAATTGTCTATGGACTCTTATTAGTCTGTTAAGGCAAATACAATGTAGATAATATTATACAATATCCTTTGGTAATATGTTCTATGGACAATAATTCTCAGACAAGGAAAGCCTATATGCAGATGTAGGATATAACTATCAAACAAAAATTACTAACATCTACTACTGAGAGTTTGGGGTAGTGCTTAAAGGTACTGGGCTAGAAACCAGAAGACCATGAGTTCTAGTCCTGCCTTAGGTATAAAGCCACCTGGGTGACTTCAGGCTAGTCACTCTCAGCCCTTGGAAGAAGGCAATGGCAAACCATAGTGTTGCTGAGAAAACTACACGGACAAAACAAAAAACAAAACAAAACAAAACCAACAAAGCCCCCACACTTAAATTCTAGGACAATCATATTATTTCTTCTGGACAATATAAATACTAGATAGGAGCCTAGAAAATCAAGTTCCACATTTTGTTTAAGCGATATTTATTAGACCTTTGAAAACAAGCTCACAAGTTTTTAGGCTGATTTTTAAAAATATTAATTACAGGCAAGCAGAAAAAGAAAAGATTTTTTCATCCCTCCAGTACAGTCCGCTATATTTTTACAGCGGATGCAAAGGAGAGAGCTGCAGATTGCTTGGCTTCTGCACTGATACAGAGGAGTGGCAGATCATTCCACACTTCCTGTAACAATTTGTAAATTGTTTTGTACAGAATTTCATGTATTAAGCACTTAAATACAATGTTAGTTTCTATTGGCCTTTGATCATATTCAGAAGACAATACTATATAACCTGTAGAAAGTTACCATACCTCAGTTGAGCTGCTGCAAAAATAAATGCATGGATATTCATGAATTTCAACACATAACTGTTTACTGCATTTGCCTCTTCCCCTGGCAAATATTCTTCCTACTTCCAACATGACACTTGTGTTAGCTTCCTAGAGTTGTTGATTTACAATACTACTATTTTGGATTTTGGGGATACTAAAATGCCAAACAACACTTTTGTACAAAAGATATGAAGATCCAAGAAAAAATTAAAAAGTGCATCTCTTTTTTTCCCCTAGGCCTTACATGCCTGGTCTGCATGTTTTGATTGAATACATTCATATTTCTGTTCCATTTAATAATTTTTCATAATGTCATTTTTGATTTTGGGAGGCCTCTAAGCACAACTATCTGCTAAATGTGCATTAAGTATTAATTTATAAAAAGTTCTCTACAGGCCCAGTTTTCTCCTATCAAATGCAGAAATCCTTAGATGGAGTTTCGTTCAAGCAGCTCCATCCAAGCAAGAATATTTTTTTTATTTGATATCTCTCTCCATTTTCAATTCTCTGCACTACTGCTCTGGAGGGCCCCCTCTACGTTATATACTTATAACCTCTATGGGTGCAAGAGGATTGTAGAAATTGCCAAACACAACCTCTTCTGTTTCAGTGAAAAATTTCCATGGACAGCCACCTTCATTTGTAGGAATCAACATTTAGATTTTGGCAGGGTAAGAGACTGAGTTGTATTTTTTCTCAAGGGTGGATTCTGCTCGCCAGCTAAAAGAGAAGAGTCATGTAGGCAGCCAGAACATTTTTGGTTTAATTAGGACACCGGTGAGCACACAGCTGCCTTCTAGGACAAGATTTATTACTGGCACAATCATTAGGAAAAGGAGTTTTTGGTTTTGCTTTGTGTTTCTCTCTGGACTGGAGGTGCTGTTCCTGTATTAAAGCAGAATGACTAAAACTGTGATTACCAGAGGAAGGTGGAATGTTCATTGAATGACCCCAATAGGAAGGCTCTACAAAGTGGACTAGCTGGTGAAGGACTAGACCACAGAGAAAAAGAGCTACATTGGAAAAGACAGCCTGGGAATTGTAAGAGAGCAGACCCAGGGGTTGGTTCTCCAAGACGGCTCAGAAAAGGAATTATTTTTTCCCTCTTCCCCTCCTCCACTTTAATTTAGAAAAGGCTAGGAGCAGGAAAGTGAAAGTAAAGGAAAACTGTCTAGAAGGTGTTAACACTATTATGTTAACATAACATAACATTATGTTAACTCCTTCTAGACAGCTTTTTTTTTTTTACTTTCAGCCCAATGGCTGAGTTTAGCAATTGTGTGGATAAGAGAGCGATTCAAACTGTTAAGCAACTTCAAGGAAGCTCCCTAAATAAATATGTATTAAGCTTGTAACTGAGATGTACTCAGCACAGTAGAGATAATACCACTATATATTGGAAAGATAAGCACAAATTATTTACTTTATTTGAAATATAACAATTAGAATCATTTAGGTAGCAGAATAACACTGTGTGTTTGCCTCAGATTTTTTTTTTCCCCTTTCCTACTCTCCCACAAGATCCAAGCTCGGATATGTTCAATAGGTGAATTTGTTACTTACACTGTGGAAATGAGGTGTAATATAACATATTCGGCAGCCAAGCTGTCTCCCAAAAAGGCATGAGTGAGGAAGCCAAGAAGCTCTGCTCTAACTGGTGATAGTTCAGACATAAAACTAGAAACAACTAAAATTAGACAGCAATAGACAGGAATCAGAAATAACAAATAATGGCCTTTTTTATAACTTAATTATCATCTGCAGAAGACAGTCAATATGATATATAACTCTGTACTAACCATAAAATCAAATACTTTTTATTTCAGTTTTGTTAGGCTGAGTTTCATACTGACAACAGATCTTAATACTGTAATAAAAAAATGAAATAAAATGAACACCTGAACTAAATAAATATTAAAAAAGCTTAGGAATGTACCCCCCCAATAGTTACCAAATGTTTTATTAATTTATTACATTTAGTTTTTAAATCAAAGGAACTCTTTTTATTACCATGAAACTTAGCATATTCTTTTTTTAGGGGTCTAAGGGGCTGGACAAGTTCTGAAGCAATGCTGACACTAATGATGGGGAATATGCTGGTCTATGACTGTAATAAAGTATGATTTGATTTGGTTTGATTTGATGGTGTGGAAGAAATTTAACTTGCTTGCATGATTAGCTTAAGCCTCAGATATTTTCTTTCTTCATGGCATCATGATTGTTTTGGCCATGTATTATCTTAAAAGAAAATCGTTTCCCTAAAATATGAGAGCTCTGAGTAATCTCTGATTGTAGCTTCAAATGCCAGTTGACTTTGGAGGCTAGCATGGCTATCATTTGTTTCATTTGACAGAAGCCAATTTTGTCAGAGACTGGCCCAATATTTCTATCAAATAAGTAAAATTAACCAGCAGTTAGACTGCTCACTAGCTGAAAATTTGCTTGATGGCACACCAACTCTGTAGCCAATTAAAATCTGAGGCCATATTTAATCTATCATTGGTGCATATAATTTATTCGTTACCTCTCCTCATCCTTGAAAAGTCACTATGGGAACAACTGTTACAATATTTAGAACATTTCCACAAATCACTTTATAGACAATCTGTACTTCAAAAGCAGCAATACTTTCACAAGCTAAAATGAGCGCTGTTGTCATCACATACAGATAGTCCACAGATTTTACAGAAAAAACAATGAAGGAATAAGCTGGCTTATTCAGCAGAAGGAAGTACTACTACTCTACTGTGGCATAGTCTTGATTATGGCATCTATGTAATAATGAGAAGTGTCCGGCCCTAAATATGACAGGAAACTATTCAATTTAAGGTCCTATCCTTCCTTGCCTCATAGTAGTAATGCTCTTTATCTTGCCAAATACATCTCTGTATACATAGATATGTTTCTGGAAAACTTGTAGACTACCTGTATGTGATGACAACAGTGCTCATTTTAGCTTGTAAAATTATTTCTGCTTTTGAAGTATAGATTGTCTATAAAGTGATAGCATTTACTTTTAAATTTTGATTTACCGGTAGCTTATTTAAATTCTGATTTCTCAAGCAAATATGTTTGTGAAACATTCCAACAGACTTTTGACTGAAAATGCTATTAAAATGTAGTTTTACATACTAAATCCAAATTTAAAAATGTAAAATCCCACAAAAAAGAGAACAGAAGTTATTGGGGGGAGATGGGCGGGGACAAACTTATTAAATAAATGAATTTCTTAAAAGATATTCGCATGAGCCTTTATCTTTTCTATTAAACAGAAAATAAAAAGTCTATGATACATCAACAAAATTAAAAATAGAAAATAATTTTTCTCACTGACCTCGACTCAAAGGAGGAGTAAAACAGCTTATACAACGTTTAGAGATGTACCTTTATGCTTTAAACACTAAGGATGCTAGGAACAAACTGACCTTTTTGTGCATGAAGAAGTGGGAACAATAAAATCCAATACAGGAATTCAATAGTAACAAGATCACCTTCCTAAATAGCTGAAATACTTACAGCTCTTGCTTTCTTCTTCATTAAGGCAAGCAGGCAACAACGGATTTATGTGTTGAAGTTTCTGTGCCAGGATCACATGGATTCTGGGAACTAAGGATGCTGGAGGGCTATGAACTCTCTGTTCTTCCATTGTATCCATACAATCCATAGACTCCACTGGAGATGAGGAATTCTCCCTAAAAAATAATAATAGCTGTACTTAGGTGCATTTAATTTCTAAACTTCATGCAACCTTTGTTCCTTTCAAAGAAAAGGGTATTTCATTTAAACATAAAATGTCAGTATCATCATAACAAATTAAGTTCTTGAATTTATTTTAATTCATACTTTTGCAGCAATCAAAATAAATCCCTCAATTATCTATTTTAAAAGTGCTCCTGAATATAAAGAACTGACACAACCTTTTTATTCTTCACATGGCTACAATGAACTAAGTACTGTTGGAATTCACTGTTCATTAACACTCTTTCATTCTATTTCAAATTCTCCTTCACAATAATAAGCAAAATATGGGCTATACAGGGATACTTTTTAGGTATGCACCTCATGATGTAATCAGTTTGAAAATACCGATTATAAACAAGTTAGTAAATGAAGGCTGCAAAAAGATTTTCACAGAAGTGAAGCATTATGAACATGCAGTATACTCTAGCTTTTGCTATTATTTGTAACAATTATTTTCCATGAAAACTAGATAAATTAACGTTTCAAATAAATGTTTGAAAAACTGCCAACAAAATAATAAAATACAGGCAGTCCTCACTTAACAATACTAATTGGGATGCAGTTGTAAGTCAAAAAACCATGTGACCATGCCCCTTAGTGACAGCAGTGCTGTCATTAAGTGAGGACCATGAGGGTCATTAAGTGAGGACCTCACGACTGTGACTTGTGGCTTCCTGCCAGCTTCCCCATTGACTTTGCTTGGCAGAAGTTGACAGGGAAGGTCACAAATCACAATCAAGTGACCATGGGGATGCTGCAATGGCCGTAAATATAAGGACCAGTCATAACCAGTCAGTGCTGTGGTAAGTTTGAACAGTCACTGAACAAGTGCTCATTAAATGAGGACCACCTGTAAATAAAATAATTAGAATTCATTTTTCAGTGAGGAGCACAAGTTTATCACAGGAGTTCTGGGAACAAGTTCTATTACAATCTTTGCTTACAGACCCTTGTTCAATGACTTTTGGAACTTATGATAGCACTGAAAAGGAAATTTACAACCAGTCCTCAAAGTTGCAGCTGTTGCAGTATCCATGCAGTCATGTGATCACCATTTGGGATCTTCACAGCCAGCTTCTGACAAGCAAAGTCAATGGGGAAGCTGGCAGGAAGTCGATAGTCGCAGTCATGTGACATCATGCTTAATGACCACAGGTGATTCGCTTTTCGACCATAGCCGGAACTGACATTGGAAGTCAGCGTGGTCACATGACATTTCACTTTATGACCGTGTCACTTAGTGATGGAGTTGCCAGTCCCAATTGCAGTTGGTGAGGAACATCTGTACAGCAAATGTATACTAATGTACACATATTCAGTTTATCTTGCTGAATGGAGGGACCACAAACTTCTTTGAGGAACAAACTCTTTATTGCAAATAATGGAACTTCTACATCAGCTACCCTTTTGGTGTGGGGTGTCTAGGAAGTGCACATGGAAATGTCTCAGATGTTCGGTGTGAATATATATACATATAGTATACAGTTGTGTGTGTGTGTGTGTGTGTGTATATATATATATATATATATATATATATATCAAAAACTGAACTTAGATTTCTATTGGAAATTACATCATACTTATGCTTATTTATTTTGTATTTTACTACTTTATAAAATGTTTCATTTTCTCATACAGTCATGAAACTCAAGTATGTAAGTAATTATTTATGCCAAACTTCCCAAACCTAGGCTCCTTCTGTCTATGTGGATTTCAACTCACAAGCAATATCTCAGCTGACTGAGGAATTCTGGGATTTGGTTACACATCTGGAGAGTGCATAGATTGGGGAAAGCTAACTTATGCTATTTAAACTTAAAGTATGGTCTGTTTTCATCATGGTTTATTGAAAAAGCTAGAATACTTGGGTTCACATACAATATTAAGCTATAACCTGTGGTTACAACTAAATCAAAACTAAATGCAATACAATATGGATTATAAAGTTGTATGAATCCAGACATAAAGTAGGTTGACTTTAACAGGACGATAAATAAACTCTGCTACAAGCTGCTCAAATCCTGTCTTAGCATGATATATTACTGCAGTGAATTTGCAGAAGAATTGGGACTCAAATCCAGATCTCTAAAATCTACAGGTGAAACTCGAAAAATTAGAATATTGTGCAAATGTTCATTTATGTCAGTATGGC